GGAATTTAGCTTATTGGTAGAGTTCTTGCCTCACATCCACAAGGCCTGGGTTCCATCTCCAGCACTGTAAAAAATAATAACAATAGTAATAAAAAATATTAATAGTATGATTTTTCATAGGTAAATGAAACATTTATAAGGACATGTTTATCAAACTCTTGAAAAATATGAGTCTAAAACTCTACTTTTGGCTCTGTGGTGAAGCATGTGGCAAAAGAAAACTGTTTGTGTTATTTTAGTTACTTTTCCCATTGCTTGAACACAGTCTCTGATGCCTACAACTTAAAGAAGAAAGATTTGTTTTGGCTCATGGATTATAGTGGTTTCCGAAGAAAACCAGTATGGTGGAAGTGCCTGGCAGAAGAACACTGCTGGCTTCATGGCAGGGGAAGTGAAGGGAAGAAGCTGGGAGGGAGACGTGCCCCTCTGGGCCGTGTCCCCAGTTATCTGCCTCTTCTGACCAGATCCTACCTCCTAAAAGAAAATTGTCTATCAGTTCCCATAACCCAGTCAGGCACCCTCCAGAAGCCCTGCCTGTGAAGGAATGAGACTCCTTGGGGAAATGTAGATAAAAATCCTAACATCAAGACTAAGTGATAAAAAAGAGAGGGAGGGGGGAGGGAGGTCCCCTAATCTCCTTCAAGGACATTTCTCCCACTGCCTGACCTAAAGAACTCTCAGCTAAGCCCTACTTCTTAAAGGTTCTACCATCTCCCAGTAGCACTGCAGGCTGAAAACCAAGCTTCTAGCCAGTAGACCTTTGTAAGACAGTCTAGATTGCAATTAAAGTTATAGAAAAAGAAAGATCTTGAATTGTTCATTCTTAGGTCTACAAAGAAAAAGAAGGAACCTCCATTAAACTAGGATGTAAGAAGCATTTTGTTAAATTCCAAAGAGATGTTTTATAGCCTTTGGGGGAAGGTGAAAGGAAGGCAGGAGAGTGGGCTGTGGGCCGAGGCAAGGGGTGAAGGCAGCAGGAGGGGCTGAGCGGTCAGAGTGGAGTGTGTACTTATTCCACGTGGGAGGCCCTGGGCTCAATCCTCAGCACACAGAAAAACCGGCACCAAGAGCATGCTCAGTGAGATCCGATGAATTAAGTCACAGCTAGAACATACTGTTCCCAACAGAACCACGGGACTCACTGTACTCCAAAGCCATGCGTACAAAAGCTACCTTTGTTTACTTTTCTTTTTCTTTCTTTCTTTCTTTTTTTTTTTTTTTTTTTGGTACTGGGGATGGAACTCATGACCTCACACTTGCCAGGCAGACACTTATGCCACTGAGCTAAATCCCTGGCCCTATTTTCTTTTTTTAAACATGTGAAAATGCAGGTTAACAAAACATGTTAATGTGGTATTTATCCAGTTACTTTACCTAAATCCTTCTTTCTTAAATGGCCTAAACAAACTCATTCCTTTGCTTTTTTGACTTTCGAATGAACCAAGCATAGTAACACATAGTATAATCCCACCACTGTAGGAGGCTAAGGCAGAAGAACTGCAGGGACAAACCAAACCTGAGCAATTCAGTAAATCCTGTCTCAAAAACAAACAGAAAATTTATTTTGTTTTAAAGAGAAAAAAGAAAACACAGATAAGCCATATGAAAAACAACAAAAGCAAAACAGGGAAAAAAAGCTATATATAGGTTTTTCAAAACAAAATGGTAAGATTTTAACAATGGTTGTGATACTGCACATTACTATCTTCAAAGTAGTTGCTCAGTAGTTGCTAGACACAGGAATAAAACAAAACAGTAAAATGGAACAAAACATTGAATTTCAAAAACAAGACAGTTGCCACAATTGCCCCCACTGTTGCCACAACATACATTGCTGTCCTCCAGGTAAAACTTGGAAAGAGCATAACCTTATAGTCTGCCTCTGGGTTGCTTGTTCGTTTTCTTCTTAATTTTATTCTGGCACTTCTAGTCATACTCCCTCCTCCAGGTTAAGTCACTCTTCCCCCTTCTGGTTTACACTCTCTGATACTCACAGATAATAGTAACATTTCTTCTAGTTTTCAACTGAGTTTGCGTCTACCTATTTAGTCCTCCTAACTCTGTCTCATAAACCGATCCTTTCAGCTTCTTAATCATCCCTTTATGTTTCTTTGAACTTATTCCAGTTGTTCCCCGTATTTCTGGTAATGAGTTATCTGAAATGGAACACAGGGCCTCATGGTTTCCCTGAAACCATGTAATGCAGAGAGGTCCTTCATGGGGTAGCACCCAAGCCCAGCAGGCAGGGCCTTTGTCACTCTCAAAAAGGTAGTGTGACTCATGTTGAGATCCAATATTTCAGATATTCCTGAGCTTGTGGAAACAGCCAGCTATGTTTTCCGCTTCCTGCCTTAGTTCACACAGTGTCTCCACTTGAAATTATCTCTGTCTGTCTTGTATTATCAGCGACCACATTCTTTAAGAAATACTTCCTCCCCCTTCTCTTCAAATTGAAAGCAGTAATATTTTCTCTCCACTTCTGAGTGATCATTTACTGCCCAGTTCACTTTTTTACAGGTTTTTTAAATATTTAATTCACATGCCATATACTTTTCCCATTTCAAATATGTAATTCAGTAAGTTTAGTATGTTCTCAGAATATAAACTAGAGTTATCCAGAATCTTCCTAAGAAAGCCTGAGATGGGAGCCTGAAACAACACAATCTCATATCATTCCCTAGTTGGCTTCAGTTCCATGAAAGTCTCAAGAACTATACCCTTTCTATCTGCTGGTGTTCCAGGTTGTTGTCTGTGCAGGTATCTTAGTATTTGGCTGCTGTGGCGAGCACTTTTGCAGCTATCTTGACAAGGCACCTGTCCTAGCTTTCCCTGTGTGACACGACCGGACCATCAGATATACCAGGACTTAGTGTGCTCTTAGTCTGGCTAGGTCATTCAGGGCCAGACTTAGACCGCATCAAGCACTGGTGCATCTCAAGGATTTAGTAAGATAGTCATATAAAGTACAATGTAATACTTGACATGTTGAAAATGCTTGATAATGTTAGATGTTATAGTTAATTCTACTAAATAAGTAAGATTACCCAGAAAGAGCACAGCGAACCACATTTTAATTCCAGTGTCAAAATCTACCTGCTATGAGCCAAGAACTAGCATAAAGAGTAGGGAATAGAACTAACCATCTCCTTTCTGTTCTCTTTGTTCATTAAATCCCTGAAACAATTATGTCAAAGTGTTATTTTGCCAGTTTAGAGATAAAAAGAAACCAAGGTCAAATAAAGTAAGAATTGGCAGAGGTGACATTGAAGGGGTTGTTTCTGGGTTTTTTGTTTGTTTTGTTTTTTGGACATATGATTTTGCTATGTAATCCAGACAAGCCTTGAAGTCACTATGTAACCCAGGCTGACCTCAAACTCACTATCCTCCTGCCTCAGCTTTAGAGTACTCAGTTTACAACCACTTGTACCACACCCAGTTTTTATTATAAAATTTTAATTCCCCCCTTTCCTAAAACCTGCCCTGCCTCATACTTTTAGTCTAACTTGTTCAGTTTCCCCACCTAGTAATTGTCAAAAGTAGATCTCCATTCTCCTTCACTTTAACTTCCCTTTGACAAGGCTGAAATACATGTGGATCCTCCCCAGCCCTTGGTCCTGCTTTGTCCTCTTGAGCTCTGACCCGGGCTTGCAACAGTGACCTTGATATAGCCTTCCGTCCACTCAGCCTGACATGTCTTTCTAACTCTCTGTGTTACCTTCCAAAAAGATTGAGGTGATCATGTTGCTGGACTGTTACGAAACTCTTGGACTTCCTTTTTTCAATGTGGTGTTAGTTTGGGTTTGTGTTTTAACCAAATGGTGTCTGAACCAGCTTCATATACCTTCTGACCCTCTCCTGATGTTTCAGTTCCATTCCTGTCATTCTCCACCCACTCTCTTCATCTTAGGCTCCAGCCATCCTGAATGTTTCACACGTCCTCAGGTCTCTCCCAGTCCTTGCTAGCTCCACACATCTGCATTTTTCTCATTTGCTCATAAGCTTCTTCTGCCTTTGATCTCCCAGACAGACTTCTTTTTACTTCTCAAGGTTCAGATCCTACACACCTTCAGTAGCATCTTCTCAAACTCCTCTGGGATGAAATAGACATTATGTCCCCCCACAGCATGTTTGTGCCTCTTCTGAGCCCTGGCTATGCAGGGTTATAATGTATCTATTCACATGCTTGCCACCTCCATTAACCTTCATACCAAATCCATCCATTTGCAGTTCCTAGCACATAGTAAGCACTTGATAAATTTGGCTAAATGAAGGAATGTTAGAGAAGGTGTAGAAAACAACAGGAAGTTAGAAGTATGCTCACTCCTAAACAAGTAATCTTGAGCTAAATGAATGGCCTAAGTAAGGCCTAATGTACAGAATAAAAGTGATTATATAACAAGTGCTAATAAGTTTCTCTAAGGCAAGGAGTATCATGCAATGTTGAAATGCTGTCTGAAATTATCAGTGCCCTTCTCTCCCAGTTGTTTGTGAGACTGTGGCACCATGGAGAAAACATTCTACCCAGGGTAAGAGGATAGGGTTGAGTCTCAGCTTTGCAAATTAGCAACTTTGAGCCTTGGACTGGTTTCTCACTTTTGGGTTGGGTTGGGCTGGGCTGGTTTGCTTTGGTTTGGTTTAGTTTTGAGACAGAGTCTCATTATTGGTCTTGATTTCACTATGTAGCCCAGGCTGGCCTCAAACTCACAGCCATCCTCCTGCCTCGGCCTCCCAAGTACTGGGGTTACAGATGTGTGCTACCACACCTGGCTCATAGTCTCTCCTTTTGGCCTCATTTTCACAAAGAGACATTTGATATTTACTGTTATACTTTTTTTGGTAATTTTTATGCAGGGAGACGACATAGAAAGTGCTTCTTGTCATTTATTGATAAGCAGTAATTCTTTTTTTTTTTTTTTTTTTTGATGAGCAGTAATTCTTAACTCAGTGCAAATAAGATTATCTGTATTTTATCTGAACTGTACCTCTCTTTTCCCTTTCAGCTTCAGCATGAGTTAGAAAAGTGTGAGCGGGACAATGCAGAACTGCAGGAGTTTGCCAACGCCATCCTTCAACAGATAGCAGACCATTGCCCTGACATCCTGGAGCAAGTTGTCAATGCCCTGGAGGAGTCATCCTGACCCTGCCTTATGGGAAGTGGCCAACCCAGCAGCTGAGAGAGTCAAGGAGCCAAGAAAAAGATAGTACAAGGGATAGGCATCCAGGAGCATCTTGGCACCAAACATTACAAACTGCACCCTGTCTTGCTCACTTGAAGAAGTGTGGTTCCAGCCTGTTTCTATATCTGTCATCTTACTCTGCCTTTCTGCTTCAAATGTTGTCTGTGCATTAATTTTCTTGGTGTCCAAAGCAGGCAAACGGCTGTGTCTCCATGAAGAACTGACCTCCTCTCATCAGAAGTAGGGAGCTGTGGAAGCTAGTGCTCTACCCTCAGAGGGACATGAAGTAAAGAGCCCACTCCCTTCTGTCCTCTGACAGGACAGCCACATCTGGAATCTCTCCAGAATTCAGCAGAGTGAGCAAATTCTCATGTGGAGCAGAATGTTGAGTGGTCTAATATCACAGTGGGTGCTTTCTCCCAAAAGGGTGAAAATATTTCAAAAAGCATAGATAAAGAGATAGGGAAAGAGAGATCAAAGAGGAAGAGGCAGCCAGCTTCTCTTTTTATTCTCATTTGTGTTTGTTTTTCCTATATAGTGGTTATAGAAGTCGGGGACAGAGGCTGACCTGTGCTGGTTTAGCTAGCGCTAACCTCCACGTGTGTCTTCACACCGGCCCTGTCGGCCTTATCTTCTTTGCTCTGATCCTCCTCCATAACAGGAGGATGTAAGTGGTCCTTCCCCTGTTCCTCTTCTCATGCTTCGTTGCTAGATAAGTATTTCTAACTGAAAAAAAAAAAAAAAGAAGAGCTTGATATATAGGGCCCTGTTATCACCTACTGCAGCCTTACTGCTCCAGAAGGTAACGTTCCTTGGGGTTAGACTAGTTTCTCCCTACATCTCCCAGAATGCCTCCTGCCTCCCTACACCTGCACCCTTCTCCTGCAGCACAGTAATTTCTGAAGCCTGAATCCTTCACTCCACTTTGCCCCAACCTGTGTTCTCAGAACCCAGGCCTTATTCACTATCAGGAACCCTCTTTACACAAATGAATTTGTCTTATGCCACACACATTCCATCCTGCATTCCTTCATTCAGAGAATACTTATGAAAATCCCTACAGAGTACAAGTCAGTGTGTCACGTAGCCATCCTTGAAAGTGTCTCTTTTCGGGGCTGGAGATTTAGCTCCGCGGTATAAGCGCCTGCCTTGCAAGCAGGCAGTCGTGAGTTCGATCCCCGGTACCAATAAAAAGGAAAAAAGCCAAAAAATTAAAAAGAAAAAGAAAATGTCTCTTTTCAATGAGGGAAAGGTATGGTAGGTTCTTTGACACATACTTGGTTAAGTCAAAGCAGTAAGCATTATATCTTTCCCTACTCCCATCTGAATGGTGGCTTTAGGAGAGATTTTAAAATCCCACAAGGTCAGCATTTCTCATTATAAAGGAATTGATGCATTTGGATTTTCATCACCTGTTTGTAGTGTCCCATTTGATGGGCCAGGATTTGGAATATCCTTAAGAGTATTCTGTTTAAGGGGCTGGGGATTTAGCTCAGCAGCATAAGCGCCTGCCTTGCAAGCAGGCAGTCGTGAGTTCGATCCCTGGTACCAATAAAAAGACAAAAAAGCAAAAAAAAGAGTATTCTGTTTAGGGGACTCTGAGTACCCACTTGTAGAGAGTGATTTTTTTTCACATGGAACCCTGAACTCAGCCAGTTCTATGCTGAAATCAGAAAGGTGTAGGTCCAGATGAAGGAATTAGAATTTTAGAGACATTTTTCCCAAGTGTAGACAACGACAGTTGTAAATAATTAGGCACCAAGAGATAAGCACTTGACCCAGAGCTAGCCCTCTGAACACCACAAACCCTCTAAACATTTTTGTCTTTTTATCTTGATTCTCTTTTCTCCTTTCCCAGTTACCCAAAAGATTTCGTGCTGCATGAAAAGACCTGATAGCCATCAGTTTATATTAGAATCTCCTTGCCTGTCCCATTAACTTACATAGTCACTTCTCTAGCCCCCTGCTTCCCTGCTGTAAAACAGTCCCTTCACGTGAGAAATTGTGGAATGTTCCTTATTTAAGGCTTTAATGGGCTCTGTCCATAACCCCTCACCAAAATGCATTCTGCTGGGCAGCTGGGCAGAGGGGATGCAAAGGCTGGCCAGTAAGTGGTGGTGACATTCAGTTACCTCAATTCTCTTTATTTATTGACTGCTGTACGTCTTGTAGAAAATCTCATTTTGCCCACCATAATGTAAGGAACTGACGCATGGTAATGACCTTTACAGCAATAGGGTGAAATAGAGAAAGCATAAGAGGTCATCCCCAAGGCAGAAGCATGGCCCTAGCACCCTGGCATTTTGGTGTGTGGTTTTCACTGTATCTGATGTCTTCTCTTTGACTCAACCTCCCTGAGCAACCTCCCCTTCAGAAAGGCTGTAAAGCCCTCTGACAAGTGCTTCTGGGAAGAAAAATTTCTGGGACAGATACCTCTATGCAGCCCTGCAAGGAATCTCCATAATCTTTCTTGGGTGATGATCTAGCACCTCAGATTCTGGGGACTGTGTGGCTAAAGTCTGACAGTAAACATGGCCTCCCTTTATATTGTAGGGTCAAAGTTAATTCAGTTTCCAGCAGTGAGAGCACCTCAGTGAGTTCACATCATTCACTGAGCCAACATTTATTAACAACACAACTCCCATCACACTAGGATTTATCATTCCATGACCCTCTTGTAGTATTCATGACAGTACAGGCCACTGCACTGCCAGGTAGTGTGCATAGCTTTGAGAACTCACTGCAGGTCTCCTGTAATCTTCCCCATACACATCCGTTCTGTTGACAACTGCAGTTGCCCTTTAATACTTAAATCAAGGTCATTGTGAAGAGGACTATGAGAAAAGGTGGTAGAATCCACATGCTGTGGCCCTGTTGGAGGTATTTTTCTCCTGCCCCTTTCAGGGGAGAAGTGGTCTTAGGGGTAACTTGGAGGAGGTAATTTCTGTCCCCTCCCACCTCTTTTGTTTCTCTGCTTGTCAATATTGTCTGTATGATTCAGCATTTCTTTAGTCTTTGGTGCATTGGCTAAAGAAGTGCTGTGTGTTTCTCATCTTTTCATATATCTGTATCCCAGATAGTCTTCGAGTTATCAGTGAAGTATCTGAATTGAGATTTGCAAGGGATACCATGTGGAAAAGACTTTAATTGATCTTTAAGAAATAAGAGACTCCCAAGTTTATCTCAAGTCTAAATTTTGTCCTTGAGCCTTACAGGCTAACGATCTAAGTGCATTGCTTTCTTTACATTGGAATTTCAGACATCAGAGAAGAGCAGATTAAAGCCAGGGCCACCTTTGTTGCTGCTAGAAGCAGCATGACTTGTGACTTTTTGTCAGTTAAAATACGCTTTTGCATGAGAAGCTGGTTGGCTCACCAGTCCCCATCGTGAGTGGAGAAGGGGAGAAAGTCACAGAGTTTTTAGTCCACTGCTGTCTTCATCCCTGCCCACTGATGGTCATGACTGCATCTGGACTTGCTGACCCAGGAGCCATCTCTCCCTCCTGTTTGACTGCACCACTTATGCATAGGCCCATCGGCTACTCTCAGGGTTTTCGAGGAAACAGCAAAGCAAGGAATATGTTGCTTCATAAAATGAGATCCTCGCGTGGCCTTTCCTAAGTTCCAGTGCACTCTGTGTCAGTGGTGACAGTGACTTTCCTATCTGCCTCCCCATCCTCATTTCCCCACTTGCAAAAGTCCAGCCCTGGGAAGAGCATGAGGAGAACGGACTGCAGTACAGCAAGCTGCCCTGTGTGAGCCCTGCCCTCCATCACTGCCAATTCCTGATTCTCAGGAAGTGACTGGAACCCTCCAAAGAACATTTTAAAATAATCTACAGTTTTCCCCATGTGACAGAGAATATTAGCCAAAAAGAAAATATGCATTAGTGGAATCCTTCTGAACAAAATGGCTGTCTTTACCTACTCTTTTTAAGAAAAACTTTCCAAACTTTTTAGTGTTAAACTATAACCAAGTGTCTCCTGAATTCTTTTCAATATGTTTAGTGAGTGCTGTGACCCTGTTGTAGGTATTTTTCTCCTGCCCCTTTCAGGGGAGAAGTGGTCTTAGGGGTAATTTGGAGGAGGTAATTTCTGTCCCCTCCCACCTCTTTTGTTTCTCTGCTTGTCAATATTGTCTGTGTGATTCAGAGAATTGGGGCAGTTACTTTGTGTCCTTTGCTGCAAATACTAAAACATTAAAAAAAAAAAAAAAAAAAAGTAGGTGTAGAACTGAAAAAAAAGCTGTTTTTAAAATGCAAACCAATATCATGTTAATAAAGAAATTCAAGCAATGGGGCAGTCAAACTCCTCCTCATCCTCCCACGTTGGCTGAGGTATCAGCCAGGCCAGCCACTTGGGAAATACAGTGACCACACGCCAGGTAGGTGACTGCCCGGATGTGGCTGACAACTGCCGAATAAGAGAAACGAGAATCTAGGGGCTCGGAGGCTCTCAGTCGTGCCAGGATTCTCCCATCCATCCTCAGGATCTCTGGGTAAAGGTTTCAGAGTTGGAGACCCAGAACTACCCTTACTCCATCTAGGTTCCTGCTCAGTGTGCCTAGCATTGTGTGGCAACTGGCTTTGACTCCTTGGCCCCTGCCTGGCAGGCCACAGGACCTTTTTCCTACCCACTTGGTGCTATATCATCCATTGACCATCCGTAAGGTCCACACTGGCCAGCCTGCAATCCAGGTGCAATGAATTGTTCTCAGAACTTGGTTTCTTCTGACTCAGACCCTAAATTTCTTTCCCTTGAAGCTTTTTAAACCCAGATCTCCCAGGCCCAAACTCATTCTCTCAGCCCCAGAGATGTCATGGTCAGAAAAGGAAATGAACCATGCTGAAGCAAGAACCCACCCCTGGGCCGGAATGAGCCCTTCAGCCTGCCCTTCTTTCCGTGCCGTACCAGTATTGCATCCATCTTCGGAAACAGCTAGACCTGCCGGGAGGCACTTGCCCCCTGTCAGGCTGGCCTGCCCCACTGCAGAACTAGGAGCCTGCCACACGTTATCAGGATAGCCCGCATGGGCACTTGGAATTCACTCCCCTATTTGAGGAGATACGTGTTGCACTTTAGTGGGGAGCCAAGGAGTACTGGGTACCAGCCCATTGTAGCTTGAGTCCCCTTTGATAGCAGTAGCAGCAGCCGAATGGTGGTATCTGTGATGCAAACACACCTGCTGCCTTCCACTGTACACGTGTGTCATTACTGGAGTCGTGTTGCCAGCTGAATAAGGACATTCAAAGAAATTGTGTTCTGTTCAACTTTGCCTTGTTTATTATTGTAAACACTTTGTTCATTTTTTTCTTTTTTATTCACAAACTAAATCCATCAGGAAATTACAAAGTTATTTAAAAACTGTGTGCTGTGTACTTCTTTTGAGTCTTTTCATCTGACCATCAGGCAGGATGTGACCTCCAGTTCTGGAAAAGAAGTAAGAGACCAGTGGTTTTCAAGTCAGCTCCAGTGGTATAGGTAACCTAGAGCCAGGGGACTGACAGCACACTGCAGGGTTTGTAACCTTCTCCCAGGCCCACTGGGGTGTTCTCACTAGAGGGCCACATTAGGTTCCTACTTGAACTCTGGCTGTCTTCTCAAATTCCATCGCCAGCTCCTTTTTCCTCTTCACACCATGAGCTCTGAGATCTGCCACCCAGAGGTGGGGAAGCTGCTCACACTAAGACAACAGCAATTATGGTCCTGTCTCAAGAAAATTTTGCTCAGGATTGGGATTTGTGCTTCCATGGAGTATGTTCTGATTTGTTAAATCTGTGCTGAGTTGGCCAGCAAAGTGAACACCAGGAGGGTAAGGGAGCCAGGAGATGCTGTGAGAACTGTCACCACCACTTCTGGTTTTGTCTGGGGTCTTAGGCTCAATAAGAAATTATCAGAAATGATTTTTAATGAGAATTGAGTAGCTTCATTTCTTTGTCTACACTAGAAACAAATCAGAAAGTCTGGTTTCTGTGTTTTCTCCCCCCTCCCCCCCCCTCCAAGTAAATTATGGTACCCGCTGTGATCGACTGGTGGAGTGGGTCCACACTCCTCTAGTAGCTGGCTCTCCAGGCCTCCCTCTCTCCAGGCACAACAGCTGCTCCGAGGTTCCACCTGGTCAGGGAGCACTTGGGAGGTGAGCACTAGGTGTGGAAAACTTGCTTGTAACTTCATCCAATGGAACAGGAATAATTTGTCTGGCAGAACATGCATTACATACTATAAAAATTGCAACCACAAGTAGATGTGTCCACAGGGGCTGTCAGGTTATACTGGTCAGCCATTCCCAGGGCATTCCATCCATTCATCATTTTTGACTTGTCTATTCATTCTGTGGCCTCTTGGTACTCTGGATCCAGATGTCATGGGTTTGAGAAAAATGAGGACTTCTGATTGAAAATTTCATCCATTGGATTTTTCTCTGTATTGGGAGAATGTGGCTATTGGTTTTTGAGGTGGAATGCTTCAGACTGGCACAAAGATGTAAAGAACTAGTCAGGGCCTGAGGTGAGACCCACAGACTTTATTTTTTTTTTTTTTTTTTAGACCCACAGACTTTACAGCTTGCCTTCCAGCTTCTCTTCCCCTCTACTGCCTCCATTTTCTGTGTCATTGTTACAGGAAACTAATATCAAACCATAGAAGATTCTTTGCACTGAGGTTCTAGAAGGCAACTCACTATACTAGCAGGCTATTGAGAATCAAAATTCCAGATCATCAGCACTGAGGCAGTTTTTTGCTTAAATAGTTTGCAAGCACAAAGTACAAAATATGACATGATTGGTTATATGGATTGAATTAAGTCATATATTATCAGGTAAACTAAATTTGTTTAAAAGAGATTGTTTATCATAGAAACATCCTGGAGACATGGGGAAGTGGTTCAAGCAAAGCAAACAGCTAAAAAGTATGTCACCCCAACTTGAAGTCAATTGGAAGCAACATATTTTCTTAAGGGAAACAAGCTGAGAATAGTCAAATTGGTCCAGTGCATTATCAGAAGAAAGGCAGCTGGACCAGACAGTTAAGGCTGGCTGAATTCAGCAGGGTGTTTACATGGCAGGCAGCAAGAGCCTAGGCAGAGGCTACTATTTGATTCTAACTTACTGTGACATGTTACAAGATTAAGATAAAAGAGGACATAACAACACAGGTCAAAACAGAACAATTTAAGCAACATAGTGTTTCACCACAAGACAATCCGACATTACAGTAGCTACCATAGTGTCTCTTCCTTGAAATATTTGAGTATACCTTGATATACTATATTATCAAACATAAAAAGACAGTGTAAAACCATCCAAGAGAATGAAAGTATTACAGGTTACTCAGAACCAACTAACAAAATGAACAGTGGTTACTATATTATCTCCTTGTCTATAAAAAATTTTGTTTACACTATCACTTATAATAAAATCCAATAAGATACAACATGATAAAACCGATGGAAACAGAAGAACATAAGCTTGGTGGGACTTCAAAACAAGATGATATTAAATCATCACTAGCTATTATAATGTCTTGTTTTCTTCAAAATAGCTGTTCATACCATCACAGACAATAAAACAACCCAGAATAAAACCATTCCACAATGAATGAAAACATTATAAGGCTTCAAAGCAACATAATGGGGAATCATGATTATCACATACTTTTATGTATTCTTACCATTCCTTACACTAGGGAAACTATTTGGTATTTACACATGTGGATTTGATTTATTTTGCTTATGAGTATGGTCTCAAGCTGCATCCATTTATAAACATCTCAATGTGATCATTCTTTATAGTGGGGTAGTACTCCATTGTATAAAAGTACCACAACTTTTTTATCCATTCCTCAGTTGATGGACACTTAGATTGTTTCCAAGATCTGGCTATTACAAATTGTGCTGCTATAAACATGGGTGCACATATATCACTGTGGTATGATGTTTCCAGTTTTTCTGGGAATATGCCTAGAAGTGGAATAGCTGGAACAAATGGGACTTCCAATCCCAGCTTTTTGAGAAAAGACTGACCTCCACAGTGGTTGCACCAGTCTACACTCCCACCAACAGTGCAGGAGAGTTCCTTTTTCCTCACAGCCTTTCCAGCATTTGTTGTTGGTAGTTTTCTTGATCCTAGTCATTCTTTCAGGAATGAGATGGAATCTCAGTGTGGTTTTTATTTGCATTCCTCTAATGAGTAATGATGATGAACATTTTTTCATGTATTTATTTGCCATTTGTATTTCTTCATCTGAGAATTGTGTATTCATCTCCGATGCCCATTTTTGGATTGGATCCTTGAATTTGGGGGGGGGGCTGATTTTTTTAAATTCTTTATATGTTTTAGACAGAAATCCTTTGTCCGAGGGACAGTTCACTAAGATTGTTTCCCAGTTTGTAGGTTTTTTCACTATGCTAGAGATTTCTTTTGACATGCAGAAACTTTTTAATAAGACATGATCCAAGTTGTTGATTCAGAGAAGTATTTCCCTTGTGGTTTGATTCCTGTTCATGAATTCTCTACCTACACCTATGTCTTCAAAGTTTTTACCCAACTTGTCTTCAAAAAGATTTTGTGTTTCTGTTTTAATATTCAGATCTTTGATCCATTTAGATTTTAATTTAGTACATGGTGTTAGGCATGGGTCTAGTCAGTTTTCAGCATTTTGGAGAGCCAGTTTTTCCAACACCGTTTATTAAAGAGACTGTCATTACTCCAGTGAACATGTTTGGCCTCTTTATCAAAGATAAGGTAGTTGAGTGTGTTTGTAGTTGTGGTTTTATCTTCTAATCTATTCCATTGATCTTCGACTGTTTTTATTCCAGTACCATGTTGATTTTACTACAGTTGCTTTGTAGTATAACTTCAGGTCAGGGATTGTGATGCCTCCTGCCTTGCCTTTGCTGCTTAGAACTGTCTTTGCTATTCTAAGTCTCTTCTGGTTCCAGATGAATTTTAGGAGTGATTTCTCTAGATCGCTGAGGTATGTTGATTTCTCTAGATCTCTGAGGTATTGGGATTGCATTGAATCTGTGTAACAGTTTTGGGGGAATGACCATTTTCACAATATTTATTCTTCCTATCCATGAACAAGGGATGTCTTTCCATTTTCTGAGATCCTCTTCAATTTCTTTTTTCAGTGTATTATAATTTTCCTTGTATAGATCTTTCACTTCCTTCATGAGAGTAATTCCTAAATATTTCATTTTTTTGGTTGCTAGTGTAAGGATGTGGCTTCTCTTATTTCTCTGTGATTTTGTTGTTAGTGCATCAAAATGCTATTGATTTTTGAGTATTGATTTTGTATCCAGCTACATTGCTGAATTTATTTATTATATCTAGGAGTCTTTCAATGGAGTTTTGGGGGTCTTCTTTGTAGAGTATCTTGTTATCCACAAAAAATGATAATTTAATTTCTTCTTTTCCTATCTTTACCCCTTTTATTTCTCTCTCTTGTCTAATTGCTCTGGCTAGTATTTCCAGTACTATATTAAATAGGAGCGGTAATAAGGGACATCTTGTCTTGTGCCTGATTTTAAAGTAAAGGCCTGATGTTAAAGTTTTCGGCCATTTAGTATGATACTGGCTGTTGGTTTGTCATAGATGGCCTTTATCATATTGAGGTAAAGACCATCTATTCCAATTTTCTGTAAGGTTCTTATCATGAATGAATGTTGGACTTTACCAAAAGCTTTATCTGCATCTACAGAAATGATCATGTGATTCTTACTTTTGGCTTTATTGATATGGTGGATTACATTTATTGATTTATGTATGTTGAACCAACCCTGCATGCCTGGGATGAATCCCACTTGATTATGGTGTATAATCTTCTTGATGATTTGCTGCATCCTATTTGCCAATATTTTATTGAGGGTTTTTGCATTTGTGTTCATTAGGGAGATTGGTCTATAGTTCCCTTTTTAGTTGGGTCTTTCTCAGGTTTTTTTTATTTGTTTGTTTTGTTTTCTTTTTCCTTTTTTTATCAGTACCGGGGATCGAACTCACGACTGCCTGCTTTCAAGGCAGGCGCTTATGCCGCTGAGCTAAACCCCCAGCCCCCTTTCTCAGGTTTTGATACTAGAGTAATATTTGCTTCCAGGAATAACGTAGGAAGGATTGCTTCCCTTCCAATTTTATTGAAGAGTTTGAGGAGTGTCGGCATTAAGTCTTCTTTGTATTTCTTGTAGAATTCTGCAGTGAATCCATCTGGGCCTGGGCTCTTCTTTGTAGGTAAGGACTTAATTACATTGTCAATTTCATTAATAGAAATTGGGTTATTCCCCAAAAAGTGTAATTGTTGTTGTAAAAAAGAGAGGAAAGGAAGGTAGACTAAGGGATATAACCGCAGGTATGTTTGAGTGGGTAGGATGGAAA